CGCAGGAGAGGAAGGCCCTCTATGAGGTGGATTGATTCAGTGACTGGGATAATTGGGATGGGAGTGTCGGAGACATTGCGATTGGCACAGGACAGAGCGGAGTTTAGGGCTGTTGTACATAGGGTCGCTATGAGTCGCAGGCGACTCAACGGCACATAACAACAACAACCCCCAATGCTAATATTTATGAAATGACCTTCAATAAGTAACCTCAACAACAGTCTAACTGGGTTGTTTCCAAATCGTAGTTTCAATTTTTCCTAACTAAACACCTATTTCCCCTCTACGTGTCATAATTTCAATTAGGTATAGAAAATGACAGAATAGGGAGATCTGGTGGCCTAGTGGGAGGAAGTCTGCACTGCAATCCCCAAGGCACGTGGGTTGAGGCCACCAACTACTCTTCAGGAGGATGGACAATCTCTTCCCATGTGATTAACTGCCTCTGAAAAACCTGGCGGAAGGTCAGCAATGGATTGTTTCTGACTGGACACAACAACAACACTGACAGAATATTAAAACAATGTAATGATACTCCACAACTTGATACACCATATAGTTGTAAAAGGATTGAGAAGAATATAATCAGTGCTCCTTAATCTCAGCACTACTCCTATTACACAGAAGGCAACTGATGGACTAGTGGTAAGAATCTGTGCTGCAATCTGGAAGACTCACAGTTCAAATTCAACAGTTGTTCTATGGGAGAAAAATGGGCAATCTCTTCCTGTGAGCTTTACTGCCTCTGAAAACCCCTGAAGGGTTAGGTATGGCTCAGTTCCAACTCAATGTTACACAGTAACAACAAAGTCTCAGCATAGTCGTGATTTGATGTAAGATGTAAGGGTGTGGAATCCAATGATTTTTCCTCACAAGATATTTTTTAAAAAATGATTGCCTTCCAGAGGGAACTTACTCATGATTGACCCTCCCGGTCAGGCATTAGAGGATGTAATCACATGGGAGGAGACTGCGCATCTTTCTCCCAGAGAGCTGCTAATGGAGCTGAATGGCCAGAGGGGCATCATTGTTGGGTTGGCAGTGACATTCCCCATGGACCACACCACCAGGGCTCCCTGGGAGGGGAGGAAAGAACGCAGAGCCAGGAGACTGTGCTGCCACCTAGGAGGAATCAGCACGAGTGGAGTGTGTCCTTATGGGCCTTCTGGACTCAACTGTGTGTGCGAGGAAAGTTCTTTTTTCCTTTAAATTTTTCATATTCTTCTGAAAAACCTTCCTCGGCATCAGATGATAATGAATCATTTTCAATTTCCTTAGTATTTCTCTTTGAACTAAAGTTTCTTCTTGCTCTCAATTCTAGCCTTTTTTGCCTTTTATCAGAAGAAACACAACCGTCTTCTCTCATGGAATATTTGTCAGTATCAGATGATGAGCAATCTTGTCCCTTCCTTGAACTCTTTGCAGGGAAGTTACTTTTTTTTCCTCTTTACCAGATAATCCACTACTACTCTTTTTATCTTCTGAGTCACAATTATCTCCTTTTCCTGGTAACTTCTCAACATTATCCGAAAATTCATTCTTTTTAGAAGCTTTTTCCTTTGTCTTATTACTTGTCTTCTTTCCATTCATTTTCTCATTCTTGTTTTCTTTTATACCTTTAGGAAAATGAAAACTTTCTTCTCCTTCAGGTAATTTTTCGTTGTCATCAGATGATGAATCATAACACTGCTCCATCTTAAGTATTTTTTCTTAAAGTATGTAACTTTATTTTCTTTTTCTTTAATTTGCTGTTTATCCTGCTTCTTCTCATCTCCAGAGGACTCATCACTCTGTTGTTTCTTTGGGACCTTCTCAACAACTTCAGATATGTTACTCTGACCTTTCTTAAACATCATTTTAACTTTTAGATTCTTGCTCTTTTCTTTCAAGTCAGCAATTTTTATTATAGCTAGGAAATTCCCTGACACCAAGGATGCTTACAGAAACAAATATCTATGTCCAGAACCAACAGAGAGAGAACCTCCAGCCCCCTAAGCTATAAGAAAAGATAATGCCTGCTTTTAAAAGCCATCCATTTATGATATCTTGGCTATAGCAGCAAATGCAAAGATATGTCTTTGACTTCTAATACCACTGAGAGCCCAAACAAAATGGCTTTACTTCAATGATCTCATTCTAAGTCAAAGAAAGTTGGAAACAGAGGTCCATGTGCTGAGGCAAAAGCATGGTGGCTCCCATGATCCAGGGACTGAAATGCAGATAAAGCAGGTTGCCCAAGTGACACTTTCACATCAGTCCCCACCTACCAGGTCCCACCTCACTCTGAAGCACCAGGCAAGGCAGGGAGCTCTTCTTTCATTTCCAAAAGAATACTTTCTGAAAATTCCAACAAATTCTCACTTTCACATGCAGACCCAATCTAAACACTTAGGTTTCAGTCATACATGACTACCATCCTTCCCCAAATACATCTTGAATCTCTAGTGAAGTAGCTTTGCTCCTGCTTGTAGTTGAACTTTTACTCACTCAGCCCAAGTCAGATCAAATGTCACTCCAACCTGGATCCTTCATCTGCTTCTATGAAGATTCAAAACTCAAACTCACTGAGGTCAAGTGGGAACTGACTAATAGATGACTTTGCAGTGGGTTTTTGGAGGCCGTAAATTACATGGGAGGAGACTGCACCTCTTTCTTCCATGAAGTTGCTGGTGGATTCAAGCAGAGAGACATGATGTTTGGCGTGGTAGCACAACTCCATACCACACCAGTGCTCTTCCTAGAAAAATTATTATTGTTGTTATGTGCCGTCAAGTCGACTGCAACTAAGCAAGCCTATGAACAGCAGCTATGAACCCTACTCTACCTTGAGCCAACTTCATTGTCTCTGACACATCTACCCCCATTACCTCAGTCACCAAGTCAATACATCTTATCCACGGTCTTCCTCTCTTGCGTTGTCCCACCACCCTTACAAGCATGATGCCCCTTGCCCAGGACTGGTCCCTCCTTGCAATATGCCCGAAGTATGTCAGATGCAGCTTCAAAATTTTTGCCTCCTAAGAGCAGCCTGGTTTCGCCCTCTCCAGAATGGACCTGTTTATATTCTTAGTGGTTCATGATATGTATATTCAAAACTTTTCTCTAGCACCACAACTTAAAGGCATCAATTCTTCCATAATCCTTACTCACTGTCCAGCTTTCTGATGCATAGCAAGTCATTGCAAAGACCATGGCCTGGATCAGGCACACCTTAGTCTCCAGACTGACATCGTTGCTCTACAGTACTCTGTAGAGGTCCCTGAAAGCAGACTTTCTCAATGCAATTCATCTTTTTATTTCCTGGCTGCTGCTACCAAGAGTGCTGACTGTGGAGCCAAGCAAGAGGAAGCTGTTAACCATCTCTGTAAAGAGTACAGCCATGGAAATCCGATGCTGCAGAGACCATGCTGCTCTGTCTTAGAACAATACTATGAGTGTGAATCAATTTGAAGGCAGTGAATTTGGGAGGTTTTGGAGGTTTTTTTTAGGGGGGAGGCTTCTCTGATCTCATAGCACTTTGCCTGTCTCAAGTGATGCACACACCAACTACATAACTAGTCTTGGATGTGTCATCTCCCCAAAGAGTCAGTGAGAACATCATGTGTATTTTTCTTTCTTTCTTTTCTTTTTTTTTTTTTTTTTACTCAGGAATTCACAAGGCGCCTGTCTCCTTGAAGTTGCCTAACAAATATTTGTTGGATGGATGAATAGACTATTGTGTCCAAGAATTTTTTTAAAGTTCATCATGGTATAATAGTAACAAGGAAGCTATATTTGGCATCCTCTTTCTTAAGAGAAAGCACTGATGTTGTGTGGAAACAGCAGAGACAGCATTTCAAGAATAGTTTAGAAACTGTTCCAAAATTCCAATCTGTCTCCAAGCACTGTCTGAGGCTGAGCTATAAAAATGCAAGAGAGAGAATAGTCTCCTTCAACATAATTAGGATTCACCTCTGCCTGTAGGTCCTCTCATAAGATCAGCAAAGAAAATGGAAAACTATATCATTACAAGGAAGCAGATGACCACACAAACTCCATGTACAAGCTTGAAGGTCATCTACGTATCAGTCATCCATCTTCTACCTTTAGGGAGCTCTGGTTGCTTAATGGGAAGGAATGATGCAAAGATTCAAAGTCATCGGCTGCAATATACGACTACCAAGAGCTCAAACCACCGATGACTACTGAGGCATACTCACATGTTTATATTTATAAATATAAACTTGTAAATACAAATGTATATTTAACAGTACTCCATACCACTCATTGCATCCAGGTTTACATCAAATGTCACTTTTGAGAAACCTCATTTGACTCTTTAACCCAAAACTTATATCCCCCACACAGTCCATCACTCCATCTTCCCATGGCATTTTACCCAAATCCAATGTAATATCTTCCCCTGGATTATAAGAAGGAGCCCATGTTCCTCCCATTAAACTAAAGATCTTCCAAGGACAGTGACACTGTTTCTCCATTTCTTTACACCAGTGTCTTGCCCACAGGAGACATGAAAGGTGTGATCAATATGAGCATAATTTCCACCTACTTCATTTTACCCACCTTTTAAAAAAATTTTTTATTATTTTTTTTTTATTTCAATGAACATCTACAGAGATTTTGGAATTCCATTCATTCCTTGTTGCACTTTTCTACCCCCCCCCCCGTTCACTCCTCTCCTTGAAAAGCAAAAGAAAAACTCCTTCATTTGTACACAACCCCCACTCCAAATATAATCCACTCTGCAACCCTCATTCTGTACTCTTATGATAAACATAATGCCCTAAAATATAATAATTTTAAACTATTCTGTCCCTCATAGACTTCAATGCAGTAAACATAATTTACCCAGTTTTTCTCAGTCTTACCCCCACCCCGATGTCAGCCTCATTCTACAACAGTGGCACCATATAGCATTTGTCCCTTTGTGACCCACATTTTAAATATCATTTGACTATACCTGTTAAAATAAATCACTTGTGATTATGAAAATGTTTTACCTCTTTCAGAACCAGCACACATTTGCCTGGCCCCACTGACTGAGGTAGCTCTGCAATTCTTCCTTTGTTTAAGTAAGGGCCTGAGAAACACCTGTGGTTGATAAAAAGCTGAGGACAGCAGTATTTCCCGTTGATAGTACCTGCAGGGGGAGAGCAACACAGCTGACGTAAATTTTGTTTGTTCAATATTTTACTTCTGTGATAAATCAACATTGGTAAATATATGCCTAAAACACACAGTCACTTTTCACTTCTGTATATTATTCTATTGTGTGAACACCACAGTGTAGTTGCCCACTGTCCTACTCACAGATATTTCATTGTTTGCACTTTTTCACAATTGCAAACAGTGCTTCAATGGATGACACTGTAAAAGTTTCCTTCTGTATAAGGGGCAAGAGAGTTCGGCTGGTCTATAACCTGAAGTGCAACTTTTCAGCTACTGAGTGTGCATGTTTCCACCTTTTCTAGTCAGACCACCCTGGCATCCACAGTGACTGTCCTGTATTACACTCCATCAGCCAACTTCAGAGTCCCTGTGCCGTTACTGGCCGAAATCTTCATTATGCCGTTCTGATGAATGTGGCCTTTATACCTTAACTGAGCTTAAATAGGCATTTTCCTGATTATTCTTTCAATTGAGAAAATGTATAGGGCAGTAATTGGCCTTTTTTGTATACTGAAATGCCACGAGGAAGAGTGTCATAATTGAATAATATTTCACTCTAAAGCTTCTCTTGATGTCAAAAGCAAGAATTAGGTTTCACATTGGACTAAGGGATTCACCTCTCCTTTGCCTCAAGCTAAGCTATTCTAAAAGTGGAATTTCCGTAGTCAAGCTGCTGTTCATTTAGGAAGGTAATGTAAGAGTTTAAGAATATTTATTCTCAAATGGATTTCAATGAAGAACCAGTAACCATGATTTAGAAATGTTACTTTTCCAGTTTTAATAAAAAAGGAGTAAACAACAATGATTGTGGCCAGGTGCTGTCAAGCCAGTTCAGCTTCACATTAACCCCACCCACAACCAGAGAGCCCTGCCTGGTCCTGCTCTGTCTCCAGTGTCCTGATTGCTTCTCTTCTGGAGTCCACTGCTGTGGCTTCTGTGACAAACTCTTTCACTGAGGATACTCTTCTTTATCCCTGACTCTTTCCTTTACCAAGCACAATGTCTTTCCATGATAACATCTAGAAATGATAACATCTAGAAAGTCAACAAGACTAAGTCCTGCCCCTCTCATTTCTAAAGAGCATTCTGAGTATACTTTGAACAAGACACGTTTGTTTATTCTTCTTGGCAGTTCACAGTGCAGTGTAAATTCTTCACTATTATTTCTTTCACAACTTTTGCTCATAGGTGAAGTGACTGAAAAGATCACAAGTTGGGTTAGACAAACCTTAGTCCGCTAGATCACATCTTTGACTTTAAAGAAGTCCTTTGCAGCAAATGTGCCCAGTGTAACATATCATTAAATTTCTTGACTGTTGCTTACAAAGATGTTGACCGTGAACCCAAGTAGAATTAAATTCTTGACTATTTCAATATTTTCTCCATTTATCACAAGGTTGTTTATTGATCTAATTGTGAAAATTTTTGCTTTCTTCAAATTGGTGTGCAATCTATATGGAAAGCTTTCATCAGTAAAGTACTTCAGATACAGACCATGAAAAAGCAGCTAAGAAAGTTCTTTAAAACTTTTATAACGTTGGAATCCTATATTACAGAGGAATAAAAAAAATAAGCCATTTTCATGTAAATATAAAGGGATTTAAAAATGTAAATCTATACAGACATTTTTAAATTAGGATTTACCCTGATCATACATGTTTTTTGGGGGGAACCCCCAGTCTCCATTTCCCCTAGTGATTAGTAGTAGCTGTTGCTGTTTTTAGGTGTTGAAGAGTCAAGTATGACGCATAATGACCCTGTGAACAACAGCCTGAACCCTGTCCTATCCTGCGCCATCCTCACACTTCCAGACATACTAGAGCCTACTGCAGCAGTCACCTTGTCAATCCACCTAGTTAAAGATCCACACCCTGTCTTTCCAAGCATGAAAGATATATATCTACAACAAATGGTTCTGTCTTCTATAGAAATCAATTTAATCAACGGGATTCTTCCAATGGCTTACAAATGTTAACCCGGAATTTTGAGCAAGTTCAAAATCAACCACACAAATGGATTCTTAATCAAATATACAAACCTATCTATTATACTTAGTGGTCAAGGAAGAACTCATATTTATTTTCTTTAAAAGATGTTTGCCTTTTTTTTTTTTTAGAAAAAAGATGTGAGACTATACACTTTAAAAATATTTATTATTATCACAGCCAGCTTTTCAAATACAGCAGGTTTTAAGTAACAACTGAAAAGTCAGCAGAAACTTACGTATTAACCACTACCTTAAAAATGTCATTGAAATTAGCATATAGTTTTTTAAAAGGGATGGTATGAATTAGAATTGACTCAGGTCCTACCATGTAATTTCTAAGTATCACGCGGACATATTTCTTGTAGATTACAAGAATTATCTAGAATCATTGAGCAAGAAGTAGAAAAGGCACAGAAAATTGCACTTTGAATTGTAAAAGATAAAAAGGCATGACACTGTTAATAACCAGTTAAAGAGAATAAGAAACCTGATCTTATAGTTGGGATATATCAATTTTTACCTAAAAATATGTGCATGTCTTCAATCAAAACAACAAACCAAGAAGAGGCAGAGCAAAACAGAACTCTTTACCTGTAGTAGTGTCTGGGTGAGGGAATGAACATAATTCATGAGGTATTTTCTCAGCAGGCACTGTGGACGGCAATCTATTGATAAAGAAAATAAAACTCCATCATGGATCACAAACTTTAGGCAAACCATATAGTTGAAAGTTGGTTGGGTTTTTGGTTTAGTTTCAAATAATTTTAACTGATCCCCACTAAAACCTAAGGGCATAATGATGCAATATGTGCATATAGAGGCAAATATAAGAAATAAAAAGACCAATTTAGGAAAGCTGGTCTCAGATACTTTTGATAGCCCTGAGTTTAGGGGGATTATCTGTAGTCATGACTAATCTAGGTGGCTTCCCCAAGTCATTACTAGATTTGTTGCTTATAAGAAAATTATAACTAGGATTGTAATTCAGACATGAAAATACACTAACTTGTATAAAATTAAAGTCACACCTCTTATCATCAATGTCCAATTGGAAACCATAGACTATCCTTTCTTTTGGTGCCTTTACTCTGTGTAGTCTATGGGCAGTGTAAACACTTCAAGAGTTTAGCTACTAATAAGAGGCTGGCTGCTTGAATTCACTTAGACACACCTCACAATAAAAGGGCTGCTGATCTCCTAATAGAATACAGCCATTGAAACTCTGTGGAGCACATTGCTATGGACAATAAACACAAATGTCTATGACAGGATTGGAGTCACCTACGTCAGAATTCAACTGACAGTTATTCGCTTGCTTTTTGTGTTCTTAAAAAGAGGAAGATGGGTTTTATGGAGGTATTTAGGTTGGCTGCATTAAAACAACACTGCTGAAAACCATGCTAGCGCAAATAAACCCCAACAAGATCTCGTAACGGGATTATCTCTGGCAGTGGTTCCCATGGTGCTGTACCCAAACAAGAGGCATCAGAACCAACTGGGAACTTGTGAGAAATGCCAATTCTTACTGCACTGAAATGTAGAGAATGAGACCCAGGAACTAGTGTTTAAACAAGCCCACCTGGTGACTGATACACATCACTGATGTAGAAAATGCATAACTGAGTTATTATTTCAAATTTGGACTCAATCAGGGTCTATTATTTAATCTTTCTGCTTCAATACTATGCAGATAAAAAGAGAATCAAGTTATTAACCTTATGCACTATGTTTGGAGATTAATATTTAAAAAATTACACCCACAGAACTGTTATTCTCATTAAAATAAAATGCAGTATCATTCAATTGCATTTTATTTAAACCTAAATGTTGGTAGCATGAAAAATTCAGTGTTTATTTTTCTATCCATTTTTATATATTTAAGCAAATAGAATCGTTTAGCATGGGGTGTCTATTTCTACATTTGTTATGTAGTTTCAATATGTAAAAAGAACAGATTGTTACAACTTTGTCACAACAAAGGCCCTAAAATGAAGATTCTCTACCTTGACATCCATTTTTCTTTATAAAATTATCTAAATATCAGGCAGTTTACACTCACTTCACAACTGAGGAACATTTTTTTTCCCACATTGGATCTAATCTTAAAAAATTTACAAACTAGATTATTTTACAGAGATGGAATTTTGAAATGTGTGGTATTTAAAAACTTGTTCATGTTCATAGATAAAAACTAGTTAGCTTAATAACAGGGAAGTGGAAGATTTGGGACGGAGACTCAAATCTTCCCTCTCATAGGGTTGGCCAAAGATGTCATGAAACAGCAAGCTATGTGGAGGACAGAGCAGTTTGTCCAAACTACACCTGTCGTATGTGTGGCCACTGAAGAATCACTATTAGAGACCCTACTCTCAATCTGTTACTTACGGGTGTAGTTCAGGTATATCAAAGAGGCAACAACAGGTAAGAAATTACCAGTTGGACTCCAAGTTCCTGAGCACCAGGCATAGACTATTGCACATAATAAATACTGTTTTCCTGTCATATTTATGCGTGTGCTGTTGCTATTTATTAACGAGCTCACTGACAAAAACATCTATGTGTGCTGCTATCTTCTATGAAGATACTCAACAGCTTTTCACACTGGCTGTTTTTTGCTTTCCCAAGGAAGGGGGAGGAAAGAAACGTACTGTTTTTCTGGCTGCACAACCGCAATCTTTCTCTTCTTTTGTGCTGTGAAGCAGACAAAGAGGATAAAAGGGAAATGGCTTCATTAGTTAGATGGACAAACATATTTATAAAAATGACTTAGTGTTTAAAACCGCGTTAGTTTAAAATGAATTTAAATACTGAAAGGTTATTTCCCTAATGCCACAATTCTATATTAATTTCTTCTTGGCTAGAAGCGCTAGCATAAAATAGACTTTGCCTTGCAGAAATGAGGTCTAAAGAGAAATGAGTGCATTTAATCCATCATTAAAATGTCTATTTTAAAGTATGTTTTTAATACAATAGAAGGCATAAATATTATACTTTGTATATATACACATACACAGAGTAAGATAAATTGTTAAGAACAATTACCCAGCATGATTTTTTCCCCAACAAAAACTGTCTAAGTCAAATAATGCTACCATAACAACCCACTTACAAACTGATATAGGTAGCACATTTATAAAAATAAAGTGTCTCATTATTATGGGTGCCTATTGAATATACCTGTGAGATACTGGTATAAAGCAGCAAATAATGATTGGTTTAAATAAGAAACAAAACCAAAATGTATATATAAGAAAAAAACAAAATAAGGCAAATAATGAAAACATTATTTGCTCTTGTCTTTAGTTTTTATTTCCATTAGCATGAATAATAAGTATAAAGTTCATAATCTAAGACAAAAGATGAATATAGAATAAACCAGTCTTTGCTATAAGGGTGCATTGTGTGTGATAGTGTGATGGGCGTCAAAGACAATAGATCTAGACACGTCCAACTTCACCCATATCATGTGAAAAAGGAAAAGTATACAGGGTACCAAATTGTGTCTGAAGGACAAAGACAAGTGGACTGGATCCCAAATCGGTGTCAGAACCCACAGAAGAGCCAATTTCTGGCTATGCTGACTGAGTTGAGAATTCACAATATATTAAATAAAAATAATCTTTTTAAAACATCACTGAGAATTATCCTGTTTAAAATGACATAACTATTTTTAGGTGAGAGGAAGATGTTATTCTAATAGGATCAGACAAATTGATCAGTGTCGTATAAGAAGAACACTGTCTTTAAATTTACCTCACCAAATAATCTAGAGGGCACTCGGGTGGCTTAATAGGTGTTTCTAACCCACCAGCTGCTTCATGGGACATAGACAGGCAATCTCATTCCTTGTGATTTCTTGCCTCTAAAAACCCAGTAGAGGATCAGCTGTGAATCGTTCTAAGTAGGCAATACATAAGTACAGCTCAGTGTTTCAAACAGATAATTACCTATATTGCTCTTAAGGGGAGAATCTTAAGTTCCTTCAAAATGCATCTACATAAGGGATTGTCAAATCAACAGCATTATGATGATATGCAATTTTCTTATACTAAAATTTTCTGAGAAGTTAAGTAACTGTACAGAATAGTAGGCTGCCAGATAAAGTAAAGGGGTGTGGGGGGTGTGTGGATTAGTGGTAAAGCACTGTTCTGACAACCAAAGGCACACAGTTCAAATCCCCCAGCTGTTCTGTTGGGGGAAAGACGAGCATTCTCCTCCTGTGTGATTGACTGTCTCTAAAAACCTGCTGGACGGTCAACTATGAGCCAGTGTTGACTTGATGGTACATGGCAACAACATAACATAAAAAAAAAAAAATCTAGAGATATAACACATTTCCTAGAACATTAAAACCTCTTTAAGAATTCACAATTATCTGACAGGTTGGGGAAGACTACTAAATATCAAGACATATTATGTTTAAAGACTTTGAAATGGTCTTATGTTAGATTAACATGTTGTTGTTGTTGTTGTTGCTTGTGGTTGAGTGCGACTCATAGCGACTCTATGAACAAAAGACCTAAAGCCTTTCCATAACTACTGTCATTTCTTCAAGTTCATAGAGTTTCCAGACGCATATGGTTTAGGAAGTGGTTGCCACTCCAGCTTCACTTGGGAGCTCCACCAAACACTGTCCATACTGGGAAACCATTCTGGTATTTGATACCCCAATGACACAAGTTTCAGCATCACAGCAAACCCAGGTTACTTCATACAGCACATTGACAAAGAGTGATGTGCAAAGTGGAAGAATGTTCCTCCAGATACAACAGCACTAGTTTCATTTAGTAGTAGTTAAGTATCATCAAGTCGGATATGACTGAGAGTAAGTTTTTCACAAAAGACCTGAACTCTGTTCTATAACTAACATCATTTCTGTATATTTAGAGAGTTTAGGGAGTTTGTCAAGTTTAGAGAGTTTGTAGAGTTTCCAGAGGCATCCAGTTTAGGAAGTGGATACCACTCCTGCTTTCCAGCCAGCATTAATCAATCTGGAAGCTCATCTAAACATTGTACATAATGGGTAACCATTATGGTATTTGACAAGTTTATGAAACAGTGTGCAGCATCACAGCAACACCAAGTTGTTCACTTCAGCAAGAAAGACAAAAGATTGCTGTATCATTTAAGGAATATTCATATATGATAATCACCTATCAGCTCTTAAAACATAGTGTTACATTAGGTTAATATGATTTTTGTTGTCATGTTCTTTCCATTTTAGTACTGTACATACTGGGGCTGAGTTTATCAGGAGTTTTGACGTTAATACAAGGCAGCCCCTCTCTGGCAGTTTGCATCCACCAGCAAGAGAAAGAAGGGCACTCTCCTCCTGTGCAATTCACATAGTCCCAAAAACCTGCCTGAAGAGCTGTTATGAATGGTTCTGATTTGATTGCAATGAGTTTGAGTCTATTTATTTGGTTCTTTGGGATCAGAAGATAAAATGTAATGCACTTCTAAAAGTGCATTAGAAATCTTACCTGTTAGGTAATACTAAGAACAGAAGAAATACTTATAAATATGCTAGCGAATTATAAAGGACAATTATGGTTACTTTGGGGAAAACGTCATAAGAAAAATTAGAGGGTTTTTAAAAAAATGGTAAAATTCAAGCACAAGATTTAATGTATATAATCTTTCAATATTGAATTGTATTATACTAAGAATAAAGATTTCTGGTATTTTATCTCCACCTCTCTCTGTGACCTTCAGTTTTGTTAGTGTCATCACTTGCCTTAATTTATTCACTTGTAGAATACTCTAACAGTTTCCATTTATACACACAGTTAAAGACAAATGAGGTAACAGAAACAGTGATGCTTTCTAAAAAAATCTTTTACCCCTTTTTTCCTAAACAAGGTGGCTATCCTTACTTCCCCAAGACTCCAGTAACCACTACTCGGCCCCACTAGGCAGTACTTACAGAGTGTTTTGTGTGGTGTGGTCAGGGGGTAAGAATTAGCTTCACACCAGCCCACAGGGAAGATATCCATAGATTCAACATCAACAATGAACTCTGGAACAGGAGGCTGCAAACCTGCATTAGCAAAAGTGAAGACAGAAGGTACAAGGGGAAAAAAATGTAATTACACAGGATCAATCTCTTTAAATGTTCAGACATACAAAGAACAGTAGAATGGACAGTACTACATTTAACGGTCCTGCAGAACTGGAGAAGTTAAGTGTTGGGTTGCCAACCAAAAGGTCAGGGCTACCAATCCCTAGTTACTCAGTTCAAAGATGAGGCAATCTGCTTCCATAAAGATTTACATCTTCAGAAACCTTATGGGGCAGATCCCCTTGGTCTTGCAGAGATACTATGAGTCCGATTCCATGTGGTTCCAGTGGTTTATTGGGGTTTGGTTTTGGTTTTTTTGGGGAAAAGCTTTGTATTTAGAATTAGCCAGCTGGATTCAGTTTAGATGATCCCAATTTTGTTGGCAGCATCACAGTCAGTAGCAAATTGAACATAGGCCTTCTTCTGTCCATCAAGCCTTATCAAGGTATTGTTATCAAGGTGTTGACCTTAGCCACATCAATGTCATAGAGCTTCTTTACAGCTTGTTTAATATGGTGCTTGTTGTCCTTGACATCCACAATGTGCACGAGTTGTTATCTTCTTTTTCATGGCTGACTCAGTGGTCAGGGGAAACTTGATGATGGCATAGTGGTCAAGCTTGTTTCTCCTGGGCGTGCTCTTCCTCCTGGGGTATTTGAGCTGCCTTTGGAGTCAGCACCTAGGCTGCTGCAAGGTGGATGATGTGCAGATCTTTTTTTTTTTTTTTTGGTGGCTGTGGATGCTTTAGGACAGCCTTCTCGGCCTTTAATGCCTTTGTTTTGGCTTCAGTTTTGGGGGTGGCAGGGTACTTCTTCTTCACTTTCCACACCATTTAAAATAGCCTTATGACATGCTGTCTGGATGGTGCAGAGTTTGCATTTGAGAAGGCATGCAGACAAAGGCCTGGTGAGCTGCTTCCATAAGATCGTATCTCATACACACACACACGTATGCAGGCACGGTTACCAAGAGACAAAATCAACTTGACAACAACGGGCTTGAGTTTATATATGTATCTATCTTTCTGTCTGTCTGTCATATAATATATCTCCTTACTAGCTGACCCATTACTGTGAAGCCAGAACCAACTCATGTGAAGTGAGAGTCGAACTTCCAGCCAGTTTTCAGAAACTGTAAATAGTACAGTAGAAGACTGCCCATCTTTCTGCTACAGAGCTGCTGGGAGATTTGAATGACCTATCTTTGGCTTGACAGCATATGTCATTACCTACTAGGTCACCAGAGTTTCTCCCTTATGACAGATACAAACCAATAAAAGTTCCAAGGGGTACTGGAGGTTCAGAAAAGGAAGATAGACTTCCAGCTGAACATGAGAAGAGATGAAAGGAAACTATAAAGACCTGGCATTTAAGCAAGGTATGCTGGAAGAAGAAACTGCTCTTTTTATGAGAACAATTTTCAAAATAAGGAAATATGCAGGGTGGGGACCACTGGGTAAATGTTGAGCTCATTACAATATAGTTTCCCAACCAACAAACTAACATTCAACTAAAGAAACTAAATTATAATCAAAAGGAACTAGTAAATCTTTTAAACACCAGTCCTGAGCCATGAACTTGTTAACTCACTAATTTGAAGTAATTTATTTTGAACTCAGTCTACTGGGCCAACAAAGACTTGCTATGCCACACAAAAGTCATTTAAGTAGAAATGTCTTCTCAATGAACATTTATCTATCACTTCCTGTTTTCTAACCACAATAGTGCCTTGAAACAACCAAATAAAAAGTTCAAGAAGTCATAAAAAAAGAAATAAATAAAAATTTAGTAGACTTTTCATGAGAAGCTGCCATCCCTAAAACAAATTTAAAACATAGAATACAATAAACTATTTAAAGGAATAAAATTCTATGCTGAATCAATAGCTCTTTTGAAATCAATAAGGAAAGTCATTCTTTTTTTTTTTTTTAATTTTTATTATTTTGTGTGTCTGTGTGCCGTCAAATCAGATATGACTGGTACAGGAGAAGATTGTCCCTCCTTTCCCGGCAGAGCATCTGGTGGATTCGAACCATGCAAGGCCACCAGAGCTCCCCAGGAAAGTCATTCTTGAACCAAGAAACCAAAGATAAAAATTCTAGTCACAAAGAGAATATGACTCACTGATGGAGGGCACATAATCTTAGTGTGCTTTTGTTTCCCCACTGAAAACCAAAAATAAAATGCTATGAGCATACCAATCTTTATATATATACCGATTACCATATAGGGTCTGATGAGCTTTGAATTGTTTTCTTCTTCCTTAAATGTAACTTTCAGAAACTAAGTATCACATGAAACACAAAACAGTCCTATCCCTGATGCTATTTACCTTCTCTGGCTCCTGCTTTTTGTTTTCATCACAAAGTAGATACAGTGAACACAGAGTAAGTTACTTGATAAGTGCTGTTGTGCTTTTTTTTAAATTTAGTGTTAAATCAATACATTGATGTGTATAATGTACTCTGAACAGGAACACTAGGTCTTTTATACATGCACCACGATTATCTCCAGTCACTGGGAAAACTTATTTATTCTCAAAGAAAGCAACTATTATTTTTATTATTATTATCAAACACAATTTTCCTTATACCTATATTTCCCAATTTGAAGGCTATGCAAGATAAAGAAATACATAGACCTTCTAACAGTTGAATGAGTATTACTAATTTCTAAACTCACCAAATACTATTTGTTTGCCAGCTATTCAATAATCTTATCAGGTAAAATTCAACTACTGCATACATCAGTTATCTCCAGATTCATATTTAGGAACAACAGAAGGAAGCATGAAGGGAACTTTCTAGCTTATTCTTTACAAAAGGATGCTTTCCTTTCCCCATGTTCAAACATCACATCATCACATTCATCAATGTGTATTTCTGTAAAAATGTATATTGGTAGGACTTCCTACTGCATTTTAAGATTCATTTGATGTCTTTCATTCATTTACACAGATATTTATGAGCTAGTACATTTCAGTTACCTTGTCTTCCAGAAAGTCATGATCCTAGTTTCCATCTACCTCAAATCTAGTCCATTAAGGAATCTCTTAAATATTAACTGACAGAAAAATGACTTATCTATAATCCATAAACGTTTTCCTCACTCAAAACTTCCCAAACTTTGTGTGTAAACCAATATAAAATAATATTAAAAATTTTCCCAAGTCTCCTTGTAACTACTTTCTTTTTCTTTATCAGTTTTATGAGTTTGTTATTATTTTTGAGGGTCATCAAGGTAATTATGACTCAAAAAGACACTACAGGACAGATTAGAAGTGCCCCACAGGGCTTCCAAAGCTGTAATCTTGAGGGAGGCAAACTGCTACATTTTTCTGCCTAAGAAGTTGATGAGCTTAAACTGGTGACTTTTTAGTTAGAAGCTGAGCACTCAACTGCTGTGCCATTGGGGAGATTTTGTGAATCAAACTAAGAAAAATGATTTTTATCTCTTTCTGAAACAGAAGGAAATCTTTTTATATATAACTCATTCTTTTCCAAAGGTACAGAATCAGTAGCTGAGTTTCTTAAAATAATCCATTTAAAAATGGAATCCAAGATTCCTGGGTCATGTTAGAGTTGCCACTGGTGTACAGAAAAGGCGGATGTTCCACTGAGAGGCTAATAATAGTCTTTATAAAAAACACAGACAAACCTATTTTGAACACGACTATGCTAAACGTCTGATCCTAGATCCTAACATGTAGTAAGTAACAAGAACTGTGTTTACTCATTCTTATCCAGAACCTACATCTCAAAACCATGAGAAAGCCTAAATATCCAGCTAAGGGAAGTACTTTAATAACAGTACAACTCATTAGAGAATATTCTGCAGGTATTGCATAAAAACCACTTTTTATATTTTAGAAAAATATGCCTAAGTTATATTGAAGGGGATTTGGGGGTTTGTTTTTTTGTTGTTGGTGGTGTTTTTGTTTTTTTTTGTTTTGGGGTGGTTTTTTTTTTTTTAATAAAGATAAACTATAGAATCCTATGTAGAAGACAGGAGTCCTGGTGGCCTAATGGTAAGGAATTACATTGCCAACCCAAAGATAAGTGATTCGAATCAACCAGCTGCCCAAGGGGAGAAAGAAGATTAATCTGCTCTTTTTCAATTTACAACCTCTAAAACCCTGCTGGAGGGTAAACTATGGGTCAGTTCCAACTCTCTAGCACATAACAGTCATTGTTTAAAAGGGGGAAATATATATATATATATATATAATAAATATTGAGGAAAATGCAAAATATAAATAACTAGTGCATGTCTGTGGAGACAGGAACTTGGCGGCTTTGGGACTGGGCCACAGAAATAGGAAGGATAATCTGTTTCATAATTTTATGGTTTTTTTCCTATAAAAATAACTTATTTTATAATACTCCACAACAACAATAACAACAAAATAAGTTATTCAGTGAAGGCAAAATAGGCTTTTACACGAATACTTTATTACTATAGTGGATAGAAGAGCAAGGTATCTACCTTAAAATAACAATGACAAAAATTAAAATAATGTGAATCACTTTACATGAAAGGGAATACATTCTACTTGCATGTAATTTTTGGCAGTGAAAAAGCATACAAAATTGTGAGATTCACTCTAAAACCCATAAAGTTAATACTTGCAATTGGATATATCCTGAAGAGTAGGTCCTCAGATCAACTGCTAGCTTGCACTTTCCACAAAAAGTTCTACTTGCCCTTCTGAATTCAACAAGATGACACATTGCACTGTAACACCGTTTGTGACCTGACTCTATTAGGAATATCAAAATGAATAAAGGACACCATTTAGGAGTATGTCCAAGTAAGTAAATACCTTTCCAGGAAAACAGTTATATCAGACACCTAATATTAATTCTTTCACTCCCTACAAATTACGGTAGCAAGAACAAGCATGGATAAGCACAAAAGCAGGTGAAGAGTAAAGAATCTAGAAAAGGCAAGAAGGATCTGAGGGGAGTAGAGCTAACACAG